AAAAAAAAAAAAAAAGAAAAGAAAAAAAAAGATCTGTGTGTTAAGGATCAAATTCTGTGCTTTGGTATTCTACCTTGGTGAGATGATCTGAGGGGCCTTTGTATATTTCACAGTAATCTTTATCTGCTTAGTAATCAGTTAACCATTGAAACAGCCCGTAGAGAGCCTAGCATGGAGATGCAGCCTTCATTCTGATGTCTGATGGTAGCTGGGGAAGATGGTTGCTCCATCTTTAGGGCCAGTTTGGGTGACACTGGGAAGCAAGATGCTTCTCCTATGGGTGGTCAAGGTGGGAGATAAATATAGATAAATAGAGGCTGCTTGGTTTTTCATGAGGCAGTTTTCATGAGGCAACACAGCCTTTAGTGCAAATCAGCCCTGTGGTTTGTGGTGGTTGTGCTGACCTGTGTCCCGGGGGGCCCCACCCTCTCTTCCCCAACACCTGCTTCCCAGACTGAGCTTTCTATTCTAGCACTCGCCCTGTGTCCTTCCAATATGCTCTTCTTTATTTTTAAAGTTTACATAGCTAGAGTCAGGTTTTACAGGTTATATTTAAAGAACGGTTTCACCTTGTGTGTCATGGATGTGATTACTTGTGGAGAATTAGCGTTTTAACATCCAACACCAGTTGCTTTCAAAAAAAGGTGTCATTGCATAGGGATGGGAAATGACTTCAACTGAAAACACTTACCTCCCCCCCCCGCCCTCCCTCCTCCCCCACAGCCTATCCTAGTACTGTCCTTGCTGCCTCCCTGCTGAACCCCTCCTGTCCCATTACCCCTGAACAAAGGCACCGGGAGGTCTTGGAAGGGAGTCTGAGACCCAGGCCACCTCTGGCGCTGATACTGATACTTTTGGAGCCTTGAAACTCCAGTCAAGGTAAGCTCGCTCTCCCACCCTGCCTCCAGCTCACCCCGCTGCCTCAATTCACCTTTTCTGCCTAATAAAAAGAGACTCTGTTGGGGGAGGGGGGGCATACTGCTTTCTCTTCAGTCAGGTTGAAGGTTGCCCTTCCCAGGTTTTCAGCCCAAATAAAACCCGTTGGTCTGTTGAGTTTGTCTTTCAGTTCTCAGTGCTGGAAATATTTACTTACACACAGATGCTAGGCAGAGGTAACAGAAATTGTGAGCACTGACGAATGACTAATGACTGGAGCATATTCCTGCTAAAACGACGGGGAACACTGGGCACCCTGGGAAACACTGAGCATCTTGAAGATTATACCCTTGGGCGTACCTGGCTGACAATAAAATTAAATATTTGGAAAAGATAGTATGTATTAACGTATCCATGGTGGTAAAAAAAACAACAACTTGCATTATATCCTTGGTTGAGATCAGAGTTTTCATCTAAAATCCCCTATGTGCTGAGAACTTCATTTTTCTTTTCCTAGTGAGGGTGTTTTATTCTGTACATGATTTCCCCCAATTACTAAAACACTAGCAATGTAACTCTCCATCAACCAAGCTAAGAGTTGGCGTGGCTGTGTTTGCATGGGGGAAGTGGGGACTGAAGCAGAGGGGTGGGTGTGAGAGTGGGCATTTCTTGTTGTGAGTGTCAGAGACTTCAGCTACGGCTTCCTTGTTCTCCACTTTGAGATATGAGTTGGGAGTTGTCAATCATTACAATTTCATTTTCATCACCAGCCCCGCCCCTTTGCCTTGATGTTCTCTGAAGTTTGGTTTGAGCTGGTGACCCCTGGAGAGGGATGATTTCTAACCCACCAAAGTCTTCTTTTCCATCAAATGCTTTGAGTTTTTTTCTTTTACTTCAGAAATACAATTTAAAAATTGGGGGATGAATTTTGAGCTAAGTAAAGACGTGACACCCGACTACAATCTCAGCTCCTCGAGATAGAGTGGGTGAAGGTTCAAAGCCAGCCTGGGCATAAAGTTAACAAAACTCCATTTTAAGAAGAACAGCAACAAAAACAGGGTGTGGTGTGTGCTGGTGATCCCAGCTAGGGAGGAAAGTCTAAGTGGGAGTCTAAACTGGGCAAAAGCATGAGACTCTGTCTCACAAAGTAATAATAAAACAAGGGCTGGAGGTATGGCTCAAGTAGTAACACTTTTTGAGGGGGTGAAGGGGGATAGATTTTGACACTTGAAGATGTCTTTAGCCATTACGTTTCTGAAGTCAACTCTTGAGGCAGAGAAGATCATAGTCACTTACAGTTCCCCAAATCTATTCCGGGGAGAGCAATCTTTGGGGAGTGGAGATTTCCCTGTGAAATGACACGAAGCACACGGCTCTGTTTCCAATATGACCTTTATTAAGCAAGTACGGCTGTGACATTTAACATCGATCAACATAAGGTTGTAAACTGTGCATGTCCTCAAGGTTCTCTCCCATGGACAAAAGTCCCTTTTAAATGCACCGGTGAGGTAAACATAATGATTCATATATAGCTTCCTTAAGGCTAAGAGAGTTCTGTGTTTTCATTGATTAGTTTTTGGCTCAGTTGGTACTTGACATAGCACGTCTCAAGACAGTCCCCGCCCCCTAAGCGCCCCCCTTCCAAACAGGCTTAGGAAATTGGCCACTTCCCCGGGTACATACATGATCATGCATTTGAAGCCCCCCTCCCCCACCAAGAGACTGAGGAGGAGAGCGCCCTGAGCTGGCATGCAGTTCCTTCATATTGCACAAAGTAAATACAAGGTCAAGGCCTGGAGCCCCCCCTGGGAGAATCCATTCGGTTTTTTGATGCTGTCAATCACATGCATTTAGTTTAAATTTTTTTCTTTTTGGAAATTGTCATATGGCTTAACCTTTTACAATGGGCTCCTAACTCTAGTCACTCTGAGTGACTTCCTTCACGATGGCATGGGAAGTGACTTTCTCTACCTTCTTGGTGGACACTAGTTTCTCCTCAAAGGTCTCCTCATGCTCCTCCACCTTCTGAGTGACAGTTACAGATTTAGTGATGTATTTAGTAGCACCGTCGCCCCCCTCACTGGTGATCTTTTCTACCGTTTTGGTCACCACTGTCTTGTCCTCGCTTCTGTCACCCCCTTTCTTTTCGTCTGCGGGGCTCAAGTCTAACCCATTCGTGACCACACCTTTCTCCTCTTCTCTGCCACTGCCTTTATCCTTCGTCTCCTGCTCTTCCTCCTCCTCCTTTCCCTCTACCTCCCCATTAACCGCTATGTCTTCCTTCCTGGATTCCTTTGCACCCTGATCACTTCCTTCCTCCTCCTTCCCTCCCTCCTCTTCTGCTTTCTCCTTCACCTTCTCCTTGTCCTGCTGTGCTGGCTTCTCCTCTTCCCTGGCGTCTTTCTCCATGCTCACCTTGACTGATTTGGTGATGGTGATCACTTCCTGCACTGTCTTCTCCTTCACTGGGGACTCGGCTTTCTTCTTGTCCGGCACGTCTTTTGGCTTCTCCTTCATCTCGACTTTTTCTTCCTTGGGGGATTCCTGGGCCACTTCTTTCTTTTCTTCCTCAGCTTTCTCTTCTTCTTTCTGCTCACCTTTGGCGGGTTTGGCTTCGGCTTTCGGCTTCACTTCTTCCACGGGGGATTTTGGCACAGGGCTCTTGGCTTTCTCCGCCTTTTCCACCTTGGCCTCAGCCACCAGCTCCTCCTTGGCAGCCACGACTTCTTTCTTCTCCTCAGTTTTCTTCTCTTCCTTAGCTTCTGCTTCCTCTCCTTCACCTTCTGCCTCAGTTTCTCCCTCTTCTTCCTGCTCGCCTTCATCTTTCTCGCTGGAGCCTTCCTTCTCAGATCCTCCCTCTTCTGCTTGGTCTGACTTAGCACCTTCATCCTCTTCCTCTTCTTCCTCCTCCTGGCCTTCTTCCTCCTCCTTTTCTTCTTCTTCTTCTTCCTCTTTCATCTCAGGCGCTGTAGCTTTCACGGGAGACTTTTTGACAGCTACCACTTCCTCTTCCTCCTCTTCTTCTTTGGCTTCTTGTTCCTCTTCCTGTTCTTCGGTCTCTTCTTCCTTCTGCTCTTCTTTGGTGGAAATGGCCAGTTCTTCGGCAATGGCAGTCAGGGCATCTTCCATTTCAGATTTCTCATCTTCCACTTTGGTTTCCTCTATGATCTCCTCGACAAACTTGTGTTGCACCTTTAGCTTGGGGGCCTCCACCTTGGTTTTCTGAATCTTACTGGATATGGTGACCGATGGCTGGCGGTGGGTATACAGTGGTCCAGCGATGCTCCCCGAGAATGTGCTAAATCTGGTCTCTTCCCCTTCCAGCAGTTTTCTGAGGAGAAGTTTTTAAAAAGGCAAAGTGTCATGAAAACCTCATCAGCTCTGCCAAACTTCCTTACATTATGGGTACTGTTGGAGCTGCATAGAGGAAAGGTTCTTTCAAGCCAGCGCAGTTCCTACTATTGATTGTGTCATTTGTCAGTTCCTCCTGAACAGCTAGGCACTTACATGCTGCATATAGTAACTAACCCACTGCTGTGGTCAAACAACCACACCTACTCACAGCTTGGTAGTGATGTGCCTTTAGTACAATATGAATATGCTAAAAGGCTTTCTGGTGCCCCTCCCCCACAGCCCTCCAACCCACCAACCTTCACTAACCTTGCTGAGTACTTCAACTGTCAGGATATGGATTTAATGTTTTAGGCAAACATAATGCTCAAACGTTTTATAAAACTAATTGACTATTTCAGGAATTAGGCTATATTAAACTACAGTTTGGTATCAATACAGCTGAGTCAATTATAATTGGGTCTGAAATTTTAGTAATAATACATCTACTTAGACAAATTATTCAGCCTCTGTTGAAAAAAGAGAAAGTGCAATTTATTCTCACAATTACTTCATTGGGTAGAAAAACTGTTACATCACATCAAAATTTAGTCAAAACAAGCTCATATTAGGAAATCTGTAACCAATCCATCAATAAAGTAGTGATGCCTATATATGTCTCTGTATGTATGTGTACATTGGTACATATGCATTTAGAGTTCTATATAGAGGTAGATAAGTATCATGTCTGGTATACATCATCTACACTATACAGTCTAATAATTTCTCATCTGTGTTCTACATATGTAAAAATGGGTATATCCATCTTCTAATTTGTCTTTATTCTCAGCCAGATGAGGCAATAGTAAGCCATCACGAAGAGAGAGAATGTCCTGGTGTTTGTCCTTGAGGATGATCTAATCGATAAGCTGGAAGCTCTACATAAAACTATTAAAAATTGAAACCTCATCTGCTTTCCAAGCACTGGGAAACATTTTTCACTATAATAAAAAAGCTTAAGCATGAGCACCATCGGTGTGCCCCCCCCCAACACTTCACTCCGATTCACTCAACTGCACTTGCAAATCTGAAGAGGAGTGGTGTGTGTCTAATGAAGCCAGGAGCCAGGCGGTGATGGATGACGACTCCTCCCCGCCCCGTTAACTGCGTGCGGAGACCCGGCTGGGCCGCACACCCTGCAGTGCGGGAAGGGCGGGGCCCTTACCTGTATGCGGCGATCTCGATGTCCAGAGCCATCTTGACGTTGAGCAGGTCCTGGTACTCTCGCAAGTGACGGGCCATCTCCCACTTGGTTCCTCGGAGCTCGTTTTCCAACTGCTGGATGGTGTCCTGAAACAGACACAGCGGCTCCCCGCTTCGCACCCCATCTCCCTCCAGCGCTGCAAACCTCATCCCCTCCCCCTCCCCCCCATGGCTTTCCTTTATACTGAAAGGATTCTGGAACAAACACCAAACACAGGGGCACAATAGCACCTGAAACCAGGGGACCCAGAAACAAGCTCAACCCGAGATAGACTCCCCTGAGCCCTGCGGCTCCTCTCCCGCCTCCCCCGCCCCGACCCCCAGCGCCCGTCCCCATCCAAGCAGTTTGGGCTGAAGCCCATGTTGAGATCTGTTCGGATCACCATGGAAAATAACGCAGAGCACATGCTTTTCTGCCTCAGCGATCCTGAAGCTGCCAGATTCTTAATTACCCGAATGCGCCCCCTGCTTTAAACGTGCCCGTGTGCCAGGGTACAACTCCCAAGGAGAAGAAGCATGGAATAATTAATAACAATAATAACAGTAATAATAATAATC